TTGACAAGTCCATTTGTGAGAGAGCTATTGAAGCGTGACTACCTCACCACAGTGTTTTCTCTAACCATAGAATGCCACAGGGAGTGAAAAATGAAAAGTCAATGCAATCTCTGTGAGACAGCAAGATGGATTTATGAGGAATTACAGGCTGGTTTATGAGGAAAAAAAAAATTATCTTTTGGGCAACAATGTAGGATTATAAGGACAGGTCTTGCAGTGTCCAGGAAGGACCTAGACAGAACATGTACAATGTCACCCAGGATGCCTTAAATCCTTTGCACAGTGCTTGTGGGTTAGCTGTGCTACCATCCCTGCTGTGGGCATCTCTAAGATCCCCTCTCCCTTTCTCTGTCCCCAAGATGCCAGAAGGTACCTCCTGAATAAATTCTGCAATTCTCACCCCATGGTTTGGGATGTGGGGCTGCCAGCACTAGTGTGGTATACCAGCATAGGCAGACATGACATTTTTCCCCAACATGGAGAACTAGAAACTGGCTATCAGGCTTGCAGCCCTTTTCCTGAGATTAATTTATTTTTTTTCTACAAACGTATCTTTAGCCTGTCAGCTTTTCCTCACTCACATAATTCCCTGCCCTTTTTTGGAATCTTGGAGGTGTTAGGGGCTCCTTTGAAAGCAGGCTTGGCTACTGGATGAGTCTCCCAGCCTGTCTGTGTAGAGACAAGACATTGTTATCCTCACTCCTTTGAAGCTGAGTACCTGAGCCTGGCTTAACCAGGTCATTATTTTACTTTTCCTTGCTCAGATCTGTAAAAATCCTGTTATTGCCTGCTTTCAATTAACTCTATTAATTCAGACAAGCAGCAGTAGGAAATGTGGGAAGGGGGCAGGAGGAGCAATACAGCATTAATCAAAGGGTTGCGCAGGCATTTTCCCAGTTTGCCTCACTTTGTTACCACAGAATTCCACGTGATCCTGAAAGCATGGATTCTTGCCTAGAGCCTATAATAAACAACCTCCCATCACTGCGTTTCTGTTTATTTAAATTAACAAAGGGATAATTTCTGTCTGGCATGCAGCAGAGCGGAAAGGCGGGAGGGGAGCAGGCTTGGCCATGCCACCCACTTCCTGCTGCTTAGGCGAGGCTGGGCTGAGTCCCAGTGCCAGGCAGCCCCTGCTGTCCCCTAAACTGTGCCTGAGGCTGTGGACACAGCTTGGAGAAGGCCTCTGTCCCGGGAAAGGGCAGGGGTTTTGTAATTCATTGCAAGGTACCCGCCTACCTAGCAGCCAAGCCGACTGGTTTATTTTTCCCAGAGGCAGACCTCAGATGTCAGACCCAGACACACACTGTACTGCTGGAAGGGACAGGGAGGGAGGGAGCATCGCCTGCTCAAGGTGAGGTTTTGGCAGCTGTTGAGGGCATCCTCTGCTTCTGCATCTGCTGGCATGAAAATAGAGCTGAATCCAGCCTACCTGAAATCTGAAGGGAAAGGATGATGTTCAGGGAGACCCAGATACCTATTCCCACTGCCCTCTCCCCTTCCTTTTCAGGGTGTGCTTCAGGTGAAACGTAGCTGGAGTAACTTTACTGAGCTACTGGAAGGAGGCAGACTGCCAGGGGAGGACTGTCTTGTAGAGCCCAGCCCAGGTATGTCTGCTGTGTTTCCAGGGCAGAGTAACAGGGGGCTGTGGCCCAGGGGCTCCAGGCTGTGCTGTGAAGAGGAGCCATGTCTTCCCCTGTTAAGGGCTTCACACCATCTCCTCACGCCATACAGCTTCTGTGCCTGAGGCCAGGCTGAGGCCTGACTCCCAGTGTTTGCAGCCAGCTGCTAGCTACAAGGGAGCATGGGCTGTGCTGTGGCTCTCAAGCTGCCCAGTGCCACAGGGGAACCTTTGTTATTTTGTAATTAGAGCACAGGTTTTCCTCTGTTCTGGTCTGTGGTGGACATCTCTGAATCTGCCCAGCGCCTCAGCCACACGCAGCGAACCAGAACACAAAGGCAAGTCGATTTTGGGAAACACCATGACATTTTTTTTACCCCTGCAGAAATAAATCTCAATCATTAAGAATGTGTCTATAAAATGTGTTCAATATTTCAGTTTTGTTGAGGTGAAATATGAACAAGGTGGTGAATACATGTGAATGTTCTTGGTTAACTACCTGGGGAGGAAAGGGTGTTTTTTATTCTCCTTGTTCCCCATGCAGTGAGCACAACAGAGTTCCTCACACTAATTATTTGATCACCTCCAAAAATAGATTCCTGCATATTTCATCCACCAGAAAACTCGCAGAGAGAGAAAAGACCTACTTTTTTTTCTTTTTTCTTTTTTTTTTTTTCTCCTGCCAGTTCTGCCTGAAGCAATGTCACACTCTGAGCAACTACTGGACACCTTTCATACTTTCTTCACGAAGAGATTGTTTCAGTGAGGCAGTAAGGAGCACCACTGACTGTGCTAGGCAGACAGAAAACCTCTGCAGCCTGAGTCATGTGCATTGTGGTGGCTTTGCACAGGAGCAAGGGCAGAGGGGTGGTGCTCAGACTCCAAGGTCTTCCTGCTTTGGAGCTATCTAAAAATCTTTAAAGCACCCATTTTACCATCTGTAATTTTAGTTATAAAGTCTCCTGAGAATGCCTGGTTCTTAGCAAATAAAAATCCCCTCAAGCCTTTCCTCACTTGGTAAAGACTTCATTCCCCTGACCATCACAGACAATCTTTTCCTGTTTGTCAGTCTCTCTCATACTGGGGCACATGGTGCTCCAGCCTTGGCCTTGCAATTGCCCGGCTATGAGGAGATGCTGCTCCCCTCAGCCTGTGGTTTCCCTCTGCATAGCACAGCCCAGCCCAGCTGCCAACACTTCTGCATCAGCCAGGCCCGATATGATGTCCTGTTCTCTCTGCCCATTGACACCCTGTCCTCTGAACTGTCTCCAGCTGATCCCATCTTTCCTGAGGATGCTTAAAAATAACAGCAATGCCCACCTGTGGAGCAGATAGGCATCTCTGTGAGCTGATCACAAAATGGACACAAAGCTCAAAACCAGCTTGCAGAGTACAAACAAGATAGTTGTAGTGATGACAGATCTTGTGACAAGTCACCTTGCTGTTTCTCATTTTTCCCAAATACAGAAACGCTGACATTTCTATATTTTCTTTAAAAAAGAGTTGCATGCCTTATGAACATGAGAGCTGAAGCCAGACTTCCATACCCATCTTACATTTTATTACTTGTCAAAATAGCATTTTAGTAGAAGTAAGACTGTGATAGAAAACAGGTTTTTATAAATATTGCCTAAACTGCACCCCTACCTTCCTCTCTTTCAGCCTCCTTCCTATTTCTTATTCTCTTCCTTTCATCATAGTAATTTCCTTCTGACTCTTTCTTTTATTTCTCAAAATCACTGGTCCTTCTCCTGGTTAATTTAAGCTTCTAAAATAGCTATGAAAAAGCTGATTTTCCCAAAGAAAAAATAAAATGTTGACATCAGACAATAAATCACTTCTAAGACTACTACTACTAGTATTTCATATTCAGCAATAAAAGACAGACAAATGGCAAAAAGAAGTTAACTTTTAAAAGTTACTGATAGAAGCGGGGTTTAAGAAAAATGTAAAGCACACACACATATACAGATATAAATATGTATATATAAAAGAACAAATAACTGCAAAGTATCTACTAAATCTAACTGGGAAACAGACATCAGGAGTATCAAATTCTTAATCTAGTTTTCTTCTTTTCCATATGTGAGATAATTCTTTTCTTCAAAAAGTAATTATTAAGCACAAAGCAGATATTAATTTTGTGTGTGATTGCCTGCAGTTTCCCCCATTGATACTGAATCAGAGAATATCCAGAGGAATAAACTGAGACTATGCACTGGAATGTGGGAAAGCAAAGAGAGAGCAATTATGACTGAAATATTAGGAATTATGTTTTATATTTGCAAAATCTTGTATTTTCCAGGTTTTACTCCAAGGGTGAGATTCTCATGACTTAACCATGGCCATGCAGGGCCGTCTCAATTGCTGTAAAGCATCACATCAGTCCCCAGTTGCTGGTCCAAGCTGTGTGCCAGGTTTTGTGCCATGGCTCTCAGCCTTGTGCAGATATTTTGTGGGCCTGAAATGGCATGAGTTCCTCTGTCCAGGCACTGGAATTGCAAAAATGTCAGTGACAGCCACACACATTCTCTGTGTTAAAAAGGATTGATAAAGACCAAGAAACTTGCAAGCTTGTGTCTCTCAGCTTAATTTCTGTATCAGCAAATTACTTCAGTGGTGCCATGAGGTGCAAAAGATGGATGCATTAGGGATGAGCGTGTGAAAGGCAGTCCCAGCAACTGTGCACAGCCAAGAACAGGTCCTAACCTCAGCCCAGTGCCCCTCTGAAGAAGAGGAAGGTCACACTGTTCCTGAAGTAGCATAAGCCATGTCAGCCTGTTAAGCATTACACAGAATTCCAGAGAGGCAGGTCAGCACGACAAGGAAATACAACCCAGATACCTTGTTTATCTGCCAGAAAGTGAGAAAATATATTGCTGTTGGTTTCAAATTAAAATGTGTTTTAGTACTCCATTGCTCTCTGGAGAGTTTATTGTATTCATCCATCATTATTGGTTAGCTACATGTCCTGACATATATTGTGTGTGCTTTAGAAAGCTGAGATTGTCGGCATTTCCCAAATTCCTAACATTTAAAACTATCTGATCCCCCATGGGACATCTGGATTTGTAATGCTTTTGAGCACAAGTATTCCTCCTCAGCATTTTGTGTAATACTGAGAGGATGAGCTACCATAATGAAATGAAATATAACATTAGCACATATTAAGAAACCACAGGAAGGTGGGGCTTTCTTGCTGAACACTTATCTGCTTGATTTTGGAATCCCACAACTTCAAGGAGATTTGACTACTTTGGAGTAGGAATGACAAACTGGAAATATCCTTTTCTATTAAAGGAAGGGACATACCTATATTTCAAAAGCCATTAGAATCCAGATTGTGAATGTCAACAGAAATAAAGGTTGTGCACTCTGCTAATTACAGATTAAGTTTACTGACACAACACTCTTAGCTGGGAATACTTACATCACCAACAGATTAATGCTGTCTTTAGCAACCTAATTCACCAGCTGCCAATTTTTAGTATAATCTGCACAGTGGCTGTGTGTCCAAAGATTTGCCTGCCTCACATGGCTGCTTGCTGGATGAGTAACTCAGGACTGTAAAGAAAAAAAAGAGGAGAAAGGGAATTTTCAAGGGATCTGCTCAGTAATTAATTTATTCATGATGCCAAACCTGAGAGTAATCAGGTTTGCACACTGCCTCGTCCCCAGTGTGCCTTTATTCAGTTCAAGTCCAGGTGGTACATGGTGCCAAGTCAGAAGAGGACTCTTGCCCTACCAAGTCCACCCGTTTAGGCTGCTGGTTTCTTTAAACAGCCTCTTTTCCATAGAAGGGGACCATAGCATCCATCATCAGAGAAACAGCACAATCCACTTTCTCTGGAAGAACCTCACAAAGAAAAACCGAATAAAAACCAGAGACCCATGAGCAGAGATGCATCTCACTCCTTGCCCATCTCAGTGTAGGCTAAAGAAGCATGGCAACAGGTGGAAAGGTGTTATGGAAACAGTTTTTTTTCTGTTTACATTCTGGCAAACTTTATTTTCCTTCCCTCTATGTAAATTCACTTATGAGTTGTTAAATCTTCCTTGGCAGCTTTTCGTGGAGGTGGGGATCAGGGGATGGAGGGCTCCTGTACTTGAAGCAGAATGGTGCATCCTGGCTAGGGCAGGGATTGATGCTGGAGGCAGCACACCTCACACAGCCCAGCATAGAAAACAGAGGCAGCAGAAATTCATTTCATATTGAAGAAGAAATTCTGGGTACCAGAGATTTCAGCTTCACCTTACCCGAAATTGTTTCTGTGGTTTTGGTGGCTCACCTCCACACCATAGGATGCACTGTAACAGTAGTGCCTGGGGCTGCCAGCCATGCAAATCTTACAATGTCAGAAGTTGCTTCCCAGGATATAAAACTGTTATTTCTTCTGTTCAAAGCACTATATGACCACATTTAACAGTTTTATTTCCCTTGTCTTTGCCTTCTCTGAGAGCCTACAATACAATATGGTAAGCAAAGGCACCAGTTTCTTTATAACAAAGCATTGTTCTGACAATACATTGCATTTATCTTCAGGCTTCTCTGGGGTGCTTTTGGGGCATAACCAACCTCCTCCATACTGCACCTTCTTTCTTTGGTTTTAACACATTTTGGAAATGATCAGTGTATGTTACTCCCTCTTTCTTTCTTTTTTTTTTCTTTTATTTTTTTCTTTTGCATCTGTGTCTTGTTAAGGTACAAAAATCCATGGATATTCAAAGCACGAAGTTCTTTTTGTAACTTTTGAGAGGTGAGTATGATATAAGCAAAATAATTACTTTTGCAAGTAAAATTGGCTCAGTTCTGTCCAATTACTCTTTTGGAGCTACATTTCAATACACCTCTGATCAGATCAACCATTTTCCATTGCAGTATTTTTTGCCTCTGTGTTATTTTAAGCTTACCCTTACCATGGGACTTGAATTCATTTGGAACTCATTAATAATCAGTATAATTCCCTTTCATTAGAAATCTCTTATTGGAGCAACCTCTTGTTGTGACAATTCCCATGAAATCACCATCTTTGTAGAGATGGAGCTGGTGACGATTAAATAATATGTAATTTTATAGTAAACTAATATTCCCCAAAATAATAAAATGCCTTAACATATTCCATGCATAGTTAATAGGGGATCAGAAGGATGAAAGGTACAGATAGGATCACTTTCTTGGATATCAGAATTCCCCTTTTTTAGTGTGGCACAGTAGAGGGATTTTGTGTTTCATATATATGCATTTTTCACTGCACAGTGTATTTTTTTTTTTTGCCATGTATAATGGAACTCACAACATGAAATGCTGACAAAGCTGATGAAGACAGCGTCTTCCCAACAATAACACAATGGCTTGGCAGTTCATCATGTCTGAAGAGAAGAATTTGTAATCAAAGACATTGGAAGCTTGTGAAAGAGAGGTTTATTAAAAAAAAAAATTAAAAAAAAATTAAAAAGCATTTGTTTCTTGGAGCATGGACTGCAATCTCTGTTTTTCTCTAAATTTTCACTGGGGAAATATATCAGTATTTTGACCCTCTTTACAAGTCTGTGCTTTTGTAGAAATTCCTGTACCAGGCTAACAAAGCTGTGCACAAGTATTCATGCAAGGGGTGTCACTGTGTCGCATTTCTCTGAACAATAACAGGCTGCAGAGTGGGAAGAAATTTTAAGCAGCTTTGAAAGAACATGGAACAATTCCTTTGTTTTGCAAGTCTTCTATGTGTATGACTACTCCGCCATGTGCCGGAAAACTAACACAATAGTTCGGCTAAATTTGGTGAGACTAAGGATTAAGAAAGAGCCTTTTCTACAGCCACACTTCTGCTGATAACTCTTGAATTCTTGTCTGGAAGACAAGGAGGAAAAGAGTAGTCAGCTTGAGTGGGTCTGGAAGTAAATCCCCTTATTTGAAGGAGAATGAGGACAGGAACAAGGACATGTCCTATGAGCAATTAATTGTCTGTTTTGCTGTCCAGCCTTGATCCTACGTCAAAGATGGCAAGTGTCTTGGGGCAAAAGTTTATTTCAAATGTGTGCAATTACTGGTGGCATTTCTGTTGCTACAGACCAGACCATTTTCTCAAGAAACTCCTGACTCTAACAGTGTTTGAAGGATCCACTTTCAAATTACCCCCCTCATTTCTTCTACTTCTGTGACTGGATGCAGTAGAAAGCTGCCATTCAGGATGCAATAGGAGGTTGCCATTCCTGTTGGCTTGAAATGTTGGTTTGATCCACAGGAAAATCTACTGTACCTGTGGCTGGACTAAAGTGACAATGACTCTGTGCTAGGCAGAAGGGCTGTGACTCATCTGCCCAAGGGTAATGCGGACAATTCTCTGCAAGCTGGTCATCTAAGCCACTCTTCAGCTCATAGCTATGAGTCTTCTCTTTCTACATGGGGCATTTTTACTGTGCTCACCTCAAGTAAGTGGAAGTTCCAGTTCCTCTCTCTGTACCACAGTGAAAACATCACTGACACCTTGGGTGCGGGCAGCTGGCCTATGAGAGTCACTGCCAAGAGAATTCAGTCCCATCCCTGGTGGTGGGACTCCAAAGGGACCTCCCTTTGGTTTTCAGCGTGAGGAGACAAAGCTCCTGATAAAGCAAAGAGTTTCCTTAAACTCTTTCACAGCTCAGATGCATGGTGAAGAAAGAGACCTTCATCCTCCTAATGAGCAAATGTGTTCAGAGTAAATGCACTCCTTGAAGGGCGTTAATGCTTTCATCACCACTGGCTAATGAGCCTGAACTTGCACCTTGTACTAGATACTAATCAGATTCCTCTTTCTGTAGTCTCTAAAGCACTGCAATTCGAGCTGCCAGCAGGCAGTGATGCTGTCTAAAAATAACTGCACATGGGTGTTCTTATTCAATATTTCTGTTACAGGAGTTGGCAAAGGTTTAGTCCCAGGCAAGAGTGGGGCTCATTTTAATATGCATTGCATTCTTAATTTCTTTTAAAGTTATTATTAACTTATTCCATTTACAAAATCAAATAAAAAGACTTTTAACTGAAGAGTTACTGTTTCTTGTATAATGTAATTTGATTTTTTCCCCTCCAAATTTCAAATTACTTTATTCCTGTTCTGTTTTTTTTTAATCATTTGCATAATCTACAACACTTTCAGTACTTCTTACTTTGCATAAATCAATTTCACTTCTTGTTCACTTCATCACTTTCAAGGGGATTCCTTTCTGCTTTACTGGACTTAAATTAATCCTCTGGAGAAAGTAGTGTCATGACACGGCCAGCATCAAAATCTGCATAATGAAAGCAATTTTTTCCATTTAAATTGGCACTCAAGAATATCACTGCTCATTAGCAGACTTTAGATCTTTTATTTCATTTTAAATGAGAAGGACAAGCATTCTTTCCCTAATATGAGTTTCTCACATAAGAATTTGTTCAAAGACCTTTAAATTTATAGCAGCGTAAGTTAGGTGCCTAAATACATTAAAAAAAAAAAAAAACTGCCTATGTGATTTGTAGAGTATTAACACTTGTAGAAAGATTACTGGAATTTTCAGGCTTGATCAGACTGGTGGTCTGTCTCATCTGGCTTCTCTCTGGGGTTAAAACTGATCTGAGAAGATGGCTGAATAATGGATGGATGTGGAATCACTCACGATGAAAGGGGAATTTCTGACTAATTCTAGGCACTCAGCAAATGCTTTTGCTGGTGATGATCTTAGATCTGGAAATCTGGAAATCTGTACTGAAACTTTTCACAGAGAAAAGCACTGAGTATTAGCAGAAGGAAAGCTAAAAAAAAAAAAAAAAGCTCTTAGCCTGAAAAGGGGTGAAATTCAAAATCTGTGTTCCTTGCCTATTCAGAACAAGCACACAGCTGCAAAGCAGCCACATCTGTTTTGCTAGAAGTCTCCAGAGCTAGTTAGCCTTCCAGGATAGATACCCTCACACTTTCCCCACAGTCTGCAGGGTTTATCATTAATAATTCTGTATTTATCTTTCCCAGTTTCAAAGGAACGATCTGCGTCTGGGGGAGGGAGGACCCTCCTTGCCCCCCTTCTTGCCCCTGGGCCAGTAACACAGCTGCAGGATGGTTCAGGCTGAGCTCCTGACATGCCTGTAGCCCTGCTCAGGCTCCAGAGCCCGGGGCTGCCATGGCTGGCTGCTCTCAGTGGCCTTGCTTCAGGCTCTGATACGCCTGTCCTGCTCCACTCAGCTCAGCCCTCCCCAGACAATGCTGCTCTTCAGTGATTGCAGGCGATCTGGGCTCCACGCTGACCTTTTCCATTCTGCCCTGTCACCGCTCCTCGCAAAATAAATGTGTTACTAGGTTTGGTCCAGTTGTCAAAAATAACCTTCTCTTTATTTTTAAGATGAAGATTATTTTCCTTACTTCACCTGCAACTCATTGTTTCCATTTGAATATTTCACAGGATCAAGTAGCAATGATATCTGCTTGCCTTTTGTTAAGTTTCCTGTGTTGTGAATGAGATGTTGCTTTTGTCTGCTAAATACAATGATAGAGAGCATCTAAAGACTCAGAAGAAAGTGTTGATGCACCTATTTCTCCTGCATAAATGTGTATTTTACAGACATTGACTACTTCATTGTCATTGCTATGATGTAAAAGGAACACAACAGAATAAATTGGACACGGGGAGCCTCTGATAAGAAAATATGTGTTTCAGTATCATTGAAGGTTATATTTCATTCGGTAACATTTGTGAAAGACTTTTTAAAAATTATTTTCCTAGTTAGTATGTATTATTCCAAAATGTCTTTGATTTTAGAAATTGTCAGATAAAATGAATAATTTTCCCATCATTTTTAAATGTCTTGTCTGTATTACATATTCAGTGCCAAATGAAAGATTCCATTTATGCAAAATTTATTTATGCTAAAATCTGGAAACAATTTACATGCTAGAAAAGTGGAAGACACGGAGATCTTTTTTATTGTAAGACACATTAAAAACAAAACTTCTGTCTCACATATTTCAAGGTACACACTTCTGTTTTTTCTTCCATCAGTCTTCCCCTAATTCCCTGATCTGCTGTGAAATAAACATAAGAGCAAAGAAACTGCTTTTGACCCTGGATCAGCATTATTTTCTAGTTCATTTATCAATGTTTTTTAAGTGAGATACCTTGGTTGGTCAGATGTATAACTGCATAGAATTAACTCTTTTTAGAAAATGTATCCTGTTTATCCCAGTATCTTTTGAGAGCTGCATTTCTGAAGGCACTCACATTTTCTGCACTCATTCATGGACAAGATGCCTAGAGCTGGGTCAAGAGGAGAAGAGTGGCAATAGTGACAGCCTATCATTTGGATGTTGGGAGGGTGGAGAGGGGGAAGCTGAGTTCAATTCCTTCACCCTGCATTGTTTCAAAGCTTATGTTGCAGTTACTGGATGAAATGGATGGTGAATGGTGTAACTTGGACCTCAGTCTTCCATTTCCTTGGTGACTGTGCCAAACCCTTGGAAAGAGGGGCATAGCCATTTTATTGAAAGGCAGCAACCTTGCTCAGCCCTTTGGACAAATGTTGGTCAAGTGTTCTATACCCTGCATAGCACTGACCTGTGGGATAGGGTCACCTGCCAAAAGAGAGGCTGCTCTCTGATCAGCATTTTCTTTCTGTCAGCCTTGAGCATCCTCCTGCTGACATCATCACTAGGTGCTCCAGGTCCAGGCTGCTGTTTCCTTAGCCCCTAACCCACTCCAAGCCTTCTACAACAGGGCTGGTGGTTCCCCTTCATGTTTGTACTTGAAATATTCAATGTCTCTGGCTGGGAATTTCTTTTCCTCCTACCAACCCTTAGGTTTTCAGCCAGAAGAAAACCATTTGACTATTTTATGCCATTGTGAAGATCAGAACACTTGGGATGCAGGAAGGACATTATACAGCAAACTGTTAAAAATCCTACCACAAAAAAATTTCAGACCTAGTAGAGCTGGAGTTCCTATGGTCAGGATGGAAACTCCCTGTCTCCCTGGGGTCAGCTGATCACAGCAGTTGGAAGCCAGAGAAGGATCCTGCCACACAGCAATCAACTATGTCAGACTCAAAATTGTTTTCCTTCTTCTATTTGTATTAGGTTTTCAAGCACAAACAGCAAGCGTGCTCTTTATCCCAGGAGTTTTCACTCTAATGGGTTGTTAATGAGCTATCAATTACTTATGCAAAAAGAAATACACACATACAAACACATATAATACTATTCCTTACTGGAGGTTTTCTGTGTTTAAATATTGGGGGCTTTACCTTCCTCACCTGTGTCACTAGTCCTCCATACATCTTCATCTGCAATTACTCTATTACAAGGTCTAGCATGTAACACTTCAAGAAAGATTGTATATCTGAGGATCACAGGCTCACGCTCTAATCTCATGCAGCATTGGCAGGTCCCTGGGTAAGCTGATATGTAGCACTTCTATGCTATCGAGCAGTCCCAGTGTATTAATCAATCCTCAAGCCCTCTTGTGAAGCTCACTAGCTGTTAATCTTATTTCTAGAGGCACCGTCTCCTTCTTGACTGAGGATTCTTGAATTACAATGGCTAAAAAGCATTTCTATCCATTCACAAGAGGACCAGAAGCTAAACTTTCTCCCATCCAGCCTTTGTCATTCACACAGTGAGGACTGATCATTGTCATGAGCTTGACCTCATAATGAAATCAGTGACCTTGAAGGTGGCACAGGCAATACAAATCCTCTTGTTCACCCCAAGTTTAGAAGCCGTTTGCCTGACTCCTTTGATCAGCTTCCTCATGAATGAGGAGCCCCCAGCAAGACCTGCCTGAACCACTTAAGTCTCTCCCTCCCATATGGCACAGAGGAAGCATTTGTGTGGCCCAGGAGGATCAGGACACAGATCACTAAGCTCAGTCCTCGGGCTGCTATGGATCCTTTTCTTTCCTCAGGCTCCTCTCCTACATTTCTCTGCATATTCCACTCCCCATTAACCCTGTAGCTGGCCCCAGGGTAGCCTCCAGCTTGGGGGCCAACATCCTCGTACCCACCCCCGATTGCCTTCCCTGGCCCATCTCCTTCACTGCCACCTGCCAGAGATCCCTAAGCACTGTCTGGGCAGTTTCAGCAGAGCAGCCCACAGAGGTGCTGGTAGTGACAGTAAAAACCAACAGTAAGACAGGATAGAAAGCAATGTAAAAATGTAAAGAAATGTAAAAGTGTGTAACAGTATAGAAAAGACATTTATATTTTTTAAATGCATTGTTTTTATCCTGTCTGTGTGTGCGTGTGTACCTATTTGTGTGTGTGGCTCAACCATGTCCAACAAGCTTAACATGTTGGAATTATCCAGGCTGCTAAGGGTTAAAGTATTTATGAACTTGTTAAGAGATGAGAACATTATGCACCGTTCACGATGTTTAATTTTAACTGCCACGCTAGAGAGAATCTTTGATTACATTATCAGATTATTCTCATTGAATGTCGGTTGTATCTTTTATTTTTTTTTATTTTTTTTTTGACAGCGCTATTTCTGTGTTAGAAAATATATTCCTCCTAATTGACTGGAGATGGAGGATATTAATTAGCCAGGCTTTTCATGCAGAGGACTCCAGCTGCTGAAATCCTAGGCCCGTATAGGGTTAAATGTCAGTCTAGAAGATTAATGACTTAACTGAAAACATTTTATCACAGATACAGAAAATAAATCCCCTTCTCAGATAGCCACAGATGTGTGTGCCACTGAGGAAGGGAACTGTGCAAACCAATAAAACCTGCCTGCTCCTGCACCAGCAAACAGCAGCGATAAGACAAAAATCATTATGAGGATCAAAGTCGCTGAGCTCCTTGCCTAGAGCTGATGTTGGGAGCTGCAATACGAGGTGTGCTGCCTACCTGGGGTGACATTCTCCACAGAAGCTCAGAAACTGTGCCTTCACTTGGCTTTCTCAGCACGGAAAAGGAGGGATATGTGCCTTCATGCCAGGTTCACGTGCATGAGAATATCCTGTGCTGCTGCACAACCAGCTCTGAATTAAGCCTTAGGTGTCTGTTTTTTTCCAATTTCCAATTTCTCCTCCTTCCTTAAAATTAAAAAATCTTCCCATCATCCCACCTTTCCCCACATGCTTTCCCTTCCTTATATGATTCAACATAGCTGGCTGTGACTATAATGAGATGCAGCCAACAATGCACCTACTGTCAGTGGCATCTATAGAACATGCAGGAGCAAAATGAACAGAAATCTCTCCTGGAGCACAAACATTTAGCAGTGACAAGAACAGTGCACTGAATATAACACAAACGTTTGGCTGCATGAGTTTCAAGGCTTGCTTGCCCACAGGTAAGGAAATTAATCTGATGTTTAGATTAGGTTCATGTCTATACACTGTAAGTATGGATTTAGTGGCTTTTTGGCCAGAAATGAAATCAAAGGTGCTCAAACCCCCAACCTTTAAAATGTTCTCTTTTCCAGGATTAAACCTTAATCTCTATTTCAGGATTAAACCTTAAATCCTTAAGGTTTTAATTGTTAAACAGCGGAACATTTGTCTTCATGAGGACAGAAAAATGTCACTCCTTCACCCACAGAAAAATGTGTCTTGGCTGGGTGGGTGACTACTCTAAAACTACTGCCTCACTCTAAACATTGACATGTTCAGGGAAAAAAGTGTATAAAAATAAATCCTTCAGGGCAAGAAATTGCATCATCTTACATTGCACTTTAAAGTTTTCAATGTAAGACTGCTCTGCAATTTTGCAAAAGCAGCTTTTGGTAGTAGGAAATCTTCCAGCAAGATTCCTCAAGGAAAGCCCTGTACACCAGTACCACGGATATATACAAAACACCCACCTACTTCAAAAAGATTAATCTGCAAAAACGAGGCACTGAAGAGACCACGTGACAGCTATTTGTACAACTTGTACTCAACCCACTTGCATGACTCTTGTGGCACAGTCTTACATGACCTTTTTCACTTGGTCACTTGGTGAAGTGTAGGGGAGAAGGTAAGGCATGTTTTGAGCAGGAGGTCAATATTTAATTTTTTCTCCAGTTTTGTAGCCCCAGATCTTGTCTATTGCAGAACTTTCAAACCAGTTCTGAATAAAGATTTTTCTATCAAGAGTAGGTTAGCTGATCAGGACATGCTTCCACTGTACTTCAGCTGCAGGTGTTATAGTGTCTACAATGGAGGGGAAAGAAAAGGAAGAGCTCCAGGATCATCCCATAGAAAAAGAGGAACGCCAGATCCTTGACTGTAAGCTTAAGTGACTGGGCTTTGCAGTGACAAAGGAAAATAATGGAAAGATGATTCAAGAATAGCCAGACTCCCGCTGGTACTGGAGCTGTGTTGTGGAGCTCTGCCTGGAACAGGAGCTCTGCCTGGATGCACTGGGGAGCTCCAGGATGGGCCACGTCAGAGGAATTTAACCTGTCCATGTTCCCAGTATGGTTTTGGCTTCCCAAGAACAAAGCCTGTGCAAGAAGACTGCCCCCAGCACGCAGCCCAGCACAGCTGCCTGTTCCTGTCACAGCTGGAGGGTCTCCTCAGCCAGGTCTCACCAACAGGAGATCCGAACTGTGAGGGGTAAAGAGGCAGCATCACCTTGTGTGGGGAGAGGTCCTGCTGGGACAACTTTCAATCCTAATTTTCCTCTACTGTTCTCTGAAGTAATGAGCTGCAGGAAGGAATTTTCTTTTTATAGAAAGTTACACAAAGGAGCTACACAAGTTCTTTGGTTCTGCCTTTGCATCCCAAAAAATATACAACTTTCTTCTTGATACTGTATGATCTTCAGTTACCATACAAAACTAAATTATTTGCAGGAGAATGAGGGCAAGCTGAAAACTTATTTATCATCCAACCATTATAATGTGGTTGATGATCAAACAACCTGCGAAGGCGAGATAATTTTCTTCATCTTCAAGTAGCCACTGGAAAGCCTCATTACATGCCTGAAGTTGCATTGCTTAGCAACAACATTTCAGAAATTCAAGTTATCAGCATGATCACTAATAAGACGGTAAGCTGCAAAAGACTCCTGAATAAACTAGATTCATTTGCATTTCAAAATAAATGGGAGTAAATGTCAGATTGTGTTCTGGAGTATATGAACTCTTTTTAGCACAGATATATTGCATTTACTCAAGCATTTGTACAATAGAGACAAATTTCTAAAATTTTATAAATGCAGGATGTCTGTGGGCTCCAGATATCTTGCTACTCTTCAACTGTTAACTTTAGCTAAAGAAGTCTGCTATCAGCAAAACAGGCTGTCAAAGTGTGGCACAGAGAAGAACAATTAGAAGTGTTATTTTCCATGGCAGGACAAGAGTACAAACGAGGATAAAGATAGGATCAACATGTTACAGTGTACAGGGTCCATTTTAAGGACTGTTTGGTTTATAAAACCATAGTTTTGGGAACACTTTTTTAAATTTTACAGTTCCTCATGGAAAAATTCATTAAATGTCATATGAAAAGTTTTTATGGCCTCTGTGTCAAAATACAGACACTTAAAAGCAGCATGGTTCACAAATCCATAATAAATCTGGGATGTTTCTGCAGCCCCAGATTTCTGCTAAAACATACAGAGAACAGTTATGAGAGTGCTCAGTGAAAGTGAAGTGAACAATAGCCCAAGACTATCAGTGACGTTGTCTTTGTCTGGCCTGGTCACAGTATTGATCAGCAACCAAGAACAAAAGTACCTGTCAGTGACCATGAAGCACTTGGTTTGAACTTGTTCTAATTCTGTCCCCAGAGAAATGATCAGGAAACACTTCCTTCATTTATTCACTCACAGAAATGGTATTTGTGGGAGAAAGCCTGTTTATTGCTGTTTACAAACAAGCCTCATTTAGCCTGAGGGCAGAGGAAGACTTTGTCTTACACACCTATTTGTGGTTAATAGGCTCCTCCTCTAGTCAGTGTGTGTATGGATATTCAGGCACTTCCAAAAGATGCCACATCCCATTGGTGTAAAACTCTCTTTGGCTGCAAAGGAAGCCTCCAAGCCAGCTTTGACTCACAGCTTCAAAATGCACACATTGAACTAGACAAGAGGATTTATTTTTTTCCTAAGAACACCACTGGGACAAAGAAAGTTAGATTTTGGAGTTAGGTATTTCCTTCTCCACTTTCTCCCAAGAAAAGAGCAAGACTCATGCTCCAGGCTTTCTTTTAGTATTAGTTGCCAGCAAATGAAGACGAATTCCAAGCCAAGATTTCTCTAGTCTAGAGGTCATTCAGTGGGAGAGCTCTTTCCCTGCAAGGGAAGAACATGTATCCAAACCACGGGCAAACATATCTGAAGGAGAGAAAAAAAGCTTGACCTTGCAAAAAAGACAGAGGTGAGGATACTTCAAGAACATGAAGATGCTGTTTGGATACTTCAAGAACATGAAGATGCACAGCTTAAATGGCATGCTTCTTTCAAAGACTGTTTTGAAAACATTTTTTGTACAGTACAGAATTACTGGTTTGGCTGTAGTATTCAGGTCTTTTCCAACCTAAAGACCTAGTCTACAGCTATTTCACCCTGCAGGCAGATATTATTTTAGTTTTATATTTTAAGAGAGAAAATAAATGCATGTGAAGTGGTATTCCACTTTATTTCAAAGCCTAACGT